ACAAGCTGTAAACTTAAAGCCAGTCTATTAAATCAAAACCAATTGGAAAGAAACTGAATGCTCTGAAATTTGTTATCTTGGTTGTGAAATTGCAAGTTTTATTTTGCATTAATTTAATGACAAATCCAGGAAGTGCAAACTGCTCAATGTCTATTAATTTTATTTTGCAGTAAACCATACAATTAGTATTACATTACAATTGTTTATAAGTGCAGAGGGACAAATTAGGAAAACTTAGTTAATCGAATAGAGTAGAACAGTACTTTGCCAATATAAAAAAATTGTTACCTGGAGTGTGAATGGAGGGGAACTGAACAGTCTGGAAGGTTATACATGTCTTGTCTTATCTGTAGCACATTCCATTAAATGTTATATCATATGTAGCACAATCCTGGCTTTGTGCTATTCTGTATATAATAAACTTTGGACTTTGGATTCTGCTATATGTAATTCTTTGGTCTAAGCCATACTGCATTACAATTTGGTGTCTGTCAATCTATTCCACTTTTACTATTAAGCCAGTGTTGTATCACTGTAAGTATCTGTGCTCAGTTTAACCAGATCCCTTTACACTTTAACTTTAGTTACTTGTTTTGGTCGTGCCTTCTTTTTTTTTGAAAATGTTTTTAAAAATTTAAGCTGTCTGTTATTGAGCTATCACTTGATCGTATAAATGTGCTCCTCAATAACTCTGACCAGAACTGGACCAATCCACATTTTATTTTTATTGGAGTACTTTCTAATCCAAAAGATGTAGGGCATTTCATTACATTGTTGGTAAAATCACACATAAAAAGGTTGAAACAATAAAATATGTGATTTGGTCACAACAGTGAGAATTGAGGTTGATGCAGTTAACCACCTACCTCCTCACTTCAGTACAATGGTTCAGCAAAAAGATGACTTTGGCCTGAAGCTTTCAACAACAACAAAATTACATTTGTAAAGTGCCTTTCATGTCGGGAGGACGCCCCAACACTCAGGGCCCAGCATCAGAGATGTCAGGCATGGAACAAGGCATTTGTGTACTGGATAACATCTTATTTCAATCCCAGTTACACTAGTATGAAATTATATCTTTGCATTTGTTATTGTACTTTATCACATTGTCAAAATGTCTTCAAGTATTTCACAGGATTTTACTATAGAGTGTGGTATTCCATAAAGTGGTAATCAAATGTGGGCGACAAAACTCTCCAGCCCCGCTTTTGTTCCGAATTTGGGGAATGTGGGACTGTGGGTTCACATCCACGACCAATCTTTAGTTGTCAGCCACTGACACCCAGTAATGGACCCCGGACTAAAAANGGGATATTTGAGGCCTCAGATTATTTGTAATCTTAAATTTAAGAACATTGTCAAAATTTAAGATCATGCAGAATTCAGAAAAAAAACATTGTTAATTTGGAAGTTTTTTTTATTGATCCTAAAACCAAAAAGCTGAGATTAAGTAAATGAGCAGAAGTTGGGATTTGAACCTGCAATCAGATGTATACCAATATTCTGCATTGCCTTAACCCCTTAGGCCAGGGTGGTCTGACCTTTTGGCTGCCGAGGGCCAGATTCCCTATTTGAGAAATGTATAAATATAAGCAATTTTTTTAAACTAACCTGCACTATGAAATATCACTAATGTTTGGTTTGATATTTCTAGTGCAGTAAAACACATAGGAACAAGTTCAAGTACATATTAAGGATACCAGCTCAGACATCCAGCTAAGTGCAAATCGACAATAGCTGTGGTTTAATTGCTGTGGTCCTGGGTTTTTAGCTGATAGCAGTAGTTGTCCTCAAATAGCAAGTATGTACTCAGAAGAGCAGCCAAAATGATTATCTGAGTAATAATTGGCAACATTACAAACATAAATCAAATGCCTTAAACTCAGCCATAACTGAATTCCGTGAATTCACTTGGGGGAAAAATCCCATTGTATATTCACAGATTTAGGAAAGGTACTTTATGGTGCCATGCTTATAATCACAATTTGTAATCCAATTTTAATTTTCTAGCTTGAAATTATTCTAGGGTGTCTATGATACCATTCTCTTATAATCTCATTGTGAAATAAAATTCATGATTGTGAGAGTTCAACTTATGTGTTACATGAGAACACTTCAGTTAAAATAATATCATTCAAGCATAAGAACATAAGAAATAGGAGCAGAAGTAGGCCATTCAGCCCCTCGAGCCTGCCCCGCCATTTAATAAGATCATGGCTGATCTTCTAACCTAATTCCATTTACCGCCCTATCCCCATATCCCTTAATAATAATAATCCTTGCATTTGATATAGGGCTTTTCACGTCTTCTAGATGTCTCAAAGCGCTTCACAGAATATGCTGTAAAGTGAATTAACTGTATATTTGTGGGCGAAACGCGGCAGCCAATTGTGCACAGCAGTGTCCCACAAACAGTCGTGGATTGAAAATGACCAATTTATTATTGTTTTGTTTTTGGAGGGATTATTATTAGGCGTGTGGAGTAAGGAAACTTGCCCAAGGTTTTGCCCTGCCTGGAATTGAACCCAGGTGTCTCGCTTGCAAGGCGAGTGCTCTAACCACTGAGCTACAACAACAACAACAACAACAAGATTCCATTTATAAAGCGCCTTTCACGTCAGGAGGACGTCCCAAGGCGCTGCACAGTTGGGTCATGACCCGAGCAGGGGGGAAATGGTCAGGGTGAGGGGAGGGAAGGGAGGGAGCGAGGAGGGGGAAGAGAGTCGAGAGGGGAGCTGAAGGCACGGTCAAAGAGAAAGGTTTTGAGACCGGCCTTGAAGGAGGAAAGGGAGGAAGCAAGGCGAAGGCACTGGGGGATGGAGTTCCAGAGCCTGGGGGCTGAGAGGCTGAAGGCCCGACCACCGATGGTAGGGCGGTTGGGGCGGGGGACGTGGAGCAGACCGGAGCCAGAGGAACGGAGGGTACGGGCAGGTAGGTAGGGGGATAGTAGGTTGGAGAGGTAGGAGGGAGCAAGGCCATGAATGGCCTTGTAGGTGAGGATGAGGATCTTGAAATCAATCCTCTGGGGGATGGGGAGCCAGTGGAGGCGAGCGAGGGTGGGAGTGATGTGGTCCCGAAGCCTGGTGCGGGACAGTACACGAGCTGCAGAGTTCTGAATGACCTGCAGCTTGTGGAGGGAGGTGGCGGGAAGGCCGGCGAGGAGAGAGTTCCCATAGTCCAGCCTTGAGGTGATAAAGGCGTGAACCAGGGTTTCAGCAGCGTGAGGGGTGAGGTAATGCCGTAGTCTGGCGATGTTCCGGAGGTGATGGAAGGCGGTGCCAGTTGTGGTGCGGATGTGAGGGAGAAAGGACAGCTCAGGGTCGAACAAAACGCCGAGGTTCCTGACTGGCTTTGAGAGGTGGAGAGTGCAGCCTTGGATGCTGATGGTGTCAGCGCCTGAGGTGCGGAGGCGCTGACGTGAGCCAATCAGGAGGGCCTCGGTTTTTCGCACGTTGAGCTGAAGAAAGTTGTCTCTCGTCCAGGACTCGATGTCGGACAGGCAGGCTGTCAGGACATCGATGGTCGTGGAGTTGAGAGTAGAGGAGGAAAGGTAGAGTTGGGTGTCATCCGCATACATGTGGAAGTTAACTCCATGTCTGCGGATGATGTCACTAAGGGGGAGCATATAGAGGGTGAAGAGGAGGGGACCAAGGACAGAGCCCTGAGGGACACCACATGAGACAGTGCGGGGGTTAGAGGAGAAGCCATTCGTCGAGAGGACACAGGACTCAACAGGACACAAAAACTTAATCCCTTTAGTTTTTAAAAATTTATCAATCTCAGTCTTGAATATGTTCAATGACTGAGCATCCACAACCTACTGGGGTAGAGAATTCCATAAATTCACTATCCTCTGAGTGAAGAAATGTTTTCTCAACTCAGTTCTAAAGTATGGGAGCTGTGCAGTTATAGCCTCCACTTGTTGGAAGTGAACTTCAACTGTATACACTGCCATATACAATCTTCTTCTCCCTGCATCATAAGTCTGTTGAAAAGACTCATCATTGAGTCACAAAAATGTTTGTGGGGAACACGGCAATGTATATGGCACTTCAACGGTGGGTAAAATGCCTCAGAAAAAACATCTATATGACGCAACTTGCAAGAATTTTGCTCTGAGATGCTCTCAGTTCTCAGGATGTGATGTATGTGGGATTCTTTGGAGGAGATGCACCTTACATCCTCAGGCACTTTAATTGCTGTTGAGGCACCATTTCCATTACTGTTCTCCCAACAGAGGTCTTTTCAACCCCAATGTTTCATACACTTAATTTATTTTTCTCGGAATCTCAAGGGTGGAACTCCTTCAACCCTTAGTTTTTCTTCCTATCACCATCTTCAGGTTTTTAAATCTCAAACTTGTTACCTAGCTACTTTTCAATTTATGTAGTTTCTCTCCAAATATCAGCCCGGCCCAGTTGATACCACTCTTTCCTCTGAGTCAGAAGATTGTGGGTTCAAAGCCATATGGTGGGACTTTGAACTCATACAAGCTGGCATTCCAATACATTACTGGGGATGTACTGCATTGTCAGAGGTGCTGTCCTTTGAATGTCATGTGAAAGATCTATGGCACTTTTCGTAAAGAACGAAAGTTTTCCCTGGGGTCACAGTGAACATTCTTACAGATAAAATTGGTCATTTATCCTTGGCCCTTTGTGGGATGTTGCTCTAAACCAAATTAGTTTCTGTGTTTGCCTACAAATACACAATCACTACACTTTGTAGTAGATAGGATAGTTAGTTCTGATTCAAGTTTGCTCTTGCCAGTACCAATCACTGTTGACACAAATTGCTGGTGCATTTTATTATTGGTGTGTAATGACATCCACAATAATAGAGATATAACTGTTTACTTAATGTATGTTTTTACCAAAATAATTTTCAGCCTATTATTTAAAACTACAGCCAATTATTTAATGTGTGATCTCATTGCATGTATTGCTTTGGCTCAGTTGACTTACTAACTATTCCTTCTCTCTTCTGTTTCTTCTCTACAGAAAGCTGATCTTGCAGTTGCGCCCCTGACTATCACCTATGTCCGTGAGAAGGTCATTGACTTCTCAAAGCCATTCATGACTCTGGGAATAAGTATTTTGTACCGAAAGCCCAACGGTACAAACCCTGGCGTTTTCTCCTTCCTGAATCCTCTCTCCCCTGATATCTGGATGTATATTCTGCTGGCTTACTTGGGTGTCAGTTGTGTGCTGTTTGTCATAGCCAGGTAACATGATGCCTTCAGTGAGTTTTGGCAATGCCACTACGTTTTGCAAATGTTGTCAAAAGTCACTGATTTTTTTTTCCTTTTATTTTTTTTCCCTTTTGTTTTAACACCTCTGTGCTGTTTGTCAACCCTGTCCGAGGTTTTTTTTAAAAAAACTTGCTAATTCCTTTTAAACATATATATATAAACAAAAACAGTTTCAGCAAACGATGGGCCGGACCTGGCTTCTGATGCCAGATGAGTATGTTTAAACCAGCATCTCTTCTTTTTAATGCCCCCGCTGTGCCACTGACACAGTGTAACCGATGAATGCTGTCTGGAAGAAAAATGAAGGCAGTTAATTGAATTTTACACATTACACCGTTTCACTGCACACAGACTGAAGCATAGAAAATGTGGATTCGCAGAAAATGTATTAAGAGAGGCTATTAATTAGTCATAGTAGGGTTTTTGTATGGAACAGGCATTGTAGCATAGAGGTGGTAGTTAATCATGTAGTGCTCTAAGTCAGCTTCCCTTCCCACACTGTTACCACTGAAGGCTTTTCACCTTGTTTCAAATACATGTCTGTGGCTGCGATACTATCTTTGCAGTTATGCTGCACGAACTGGTGCAGTAATGGTTGCAATTGAAGAGTAATGCGAGTGGGGAGCTTTGATTGTACTAACCACTCACACCAACTATGGAGTGGGCAGCAGCAGAGCTCTGTGCATGTGTACTGAACTGCATGCATTGAATATTGGTTACTGGGCTTCTGACTGCTAGTGTAAGTTCTAGCGATTGAGAAGAGCTAGTGGTACGTTCTTTTCAAACCTTAGAAATTGAATATACAGGGTGAATCAAGTGTCCTTACTCATAGGTCTTTTTGAGATGTTCAAACTGCATATAGACATTAACAAAAATCAAAAATGGTGACAAAACCTTTCACGAACGTGATAAAAGACATCTCCTGTAATATCTGCAAACTCTAAGAAATGAAAAAAGAACATAATTAATAATAAACTCTATGAGTAAGGACTTCTGATTCACCCTGTATAATGATTCGTCTGAATAAATTTTTGGGCAGCTTGTTTGAAAAACCTGTCGAAGCAAGACCATCTGTTGTGGTGGTTAGGGTAGCACTGAGGGTGGCTCATACAGGCAGTGAATTGTGCCTTTGATATCAGTGCCATGCTAACGTGACACTGATATCAATTTACTGCCACATTAGATAGACTTTTAGACTTTAAACTCACTTTTCAGTATACAGTACCCAACAACAACAATTTTACATTCAATTAGTGCCTTTCACATCAGGAGGACAGCTGGAGGGTAGGAAGAGAAAGATGAGTTAGGTGGTGGGGAGAAAGATGACTGAAAGTGTGACTGAAGCACATTAGTGATGTAACTCAGTCTTCACTCTATCCTTAGGAACACTATTTATTTGTTTAAACTATCATTCTCCAGAAATGAACTTTGGTGAAATCATTGGGCACAGTGGAGTTCTCTCCTGACCTCATTCTCTGAACTAAATCACTGTCTGCATGTATTGTTGGGGGGAATGTGCAGGAAAATAACTGGAATTCTGCTCTATTCATTGACATTGTTGGAGAAAATTGAAAACTGCACGAAAATGCTCCAGTACTAAACAGAAAAAAAATCCATCATTTGCAGAATTTTTTTTCAAAAGAATCTTGATTTTTGATGAGAATATACCCAGAAGGCAGGGAGACAGCTTCCCCAATGACTTGGTGAGTTTATTCAGCAAGCAGCTGAACCATATAGAGTGGGAATGTACAAGGTTTGATACCTGATTTGTGCTGACCTAGGTTTCCTCAGCCAGGGCAGCATTAGGAGTTCTAAAATAAACCTCAGCATCTCAGGTTAGGGAGAACGAAAATGAGCCAGGGTTCCAGTTTCCAATTGCTGTCTAACATTGTCTCCTTGACTGTGGACATCAGCTAAAGGCATGATTGCGCTCATCCAAGATTGAAAAAAATGTCAGGGCTCACAGCGGAATAATGCCTGCTTGGGTGAGGTGCCCAGGGTGTCAGGCACACTTGGAACTGTACCCACGCAGAAAGAAATAGAGAGCAGAATACCTTCAGGAGAGCAGCAAGGGAGGAAACTGTAGAAGAACAGTGGTGATCACATGAGTAGAATTGCCAGAGATCAAACTTAGGTATCAGGTAAACAGCTGCTTGGGAGGCAGAAGAAATTGCTGTTTTAATCCAGAATTGTAGTTTCCGATTGATACATACATTAGGGAGAAAGGAATAGAGGGGTATAGGTGATCACTCTATGTTACGCTATACCAGATTTATGGATCCACATGGCAATGCTCCAAGATAGCAGTACATATTGCATGAAGTAAGATTATCAGGATTTGTATATTTTACTGGTAGTTTTGTTACCACCCAGACTATTCAAAACATTCATCCTGCCTAGGAGCTTGCCTTTTTCTTTACACAGTTGATCTTGAGCTGACTTGTATGGTCAACGATCCAGATCATTGAAAAGTCATGAAGCTGCTGTATATGTATATCCATTGGCTCCAAATGAGAGGTCCAAAGTAACAGGAATCACTGCATGAGAAAAACAGCTGCCACCTCAATGTGCTGCACAAGGCCAAACCAAATCATGTCCTCATACTTGTTGAATTATTTACTTCCCATTTTCTTTCAATTCCCTTTCTCTGATCTTCATTTCTCTTTATAAATTCATGGTGTTTGATAATGTCCCCATCACCCTTCAAATTCTTCCATTCCATTATTCTCATTATTTTTTGGGCTGAATGACTATTACCACAAAGTCCCAGTATAGGTCCCCACTATTATATTGTGCATAAATAACTTGGAGGAGAGTGCTTCTTGCACCATTATAAAAATTGCTGATGATAAGTGCAAGAATAATCGAGGTAGAATGGAACGAGTAGTTGAGGCTAGGATGCAGCAATGTCAACCTTGGTGCAACCCACAGTAAAGGAGTCGACATCTAGCTTTATATCCCCCAATACTATTTTGAAAAGATATTTGGATTTTGGTTTAAAGGTTCACATCTTTTGTTTTAAAAGGGCGGGCATCCTAGAAAGATGAGATTACAGAGCTGAATGACCTTTTTCATTTAAATCTTTCTTGTGATTTTAAGCTGTTTCACATGACAAAACAACAACAAGATTACATTTGTAAAGCGCCTTTCACGTTGGGAGGATGTCCCAAGGCACTGAACAGTGTACAGCATTTCAGACCCGAGCTTAGGTCAGGGAGGGAGAAGGGAGGGGAGGGGAAGGGGGGGTGACCGATGGCATGGTCGAAGTGGAGGGTTTTGAGGCTGGACTTGAAGGAGGTTAAGGAGGGGGCCAGGCAGAGTGATCGTGGAATAAAATTCCAGAGGTTGGGGGCAGAGTGGCTGAAGGCTCTCCTGCCAATGGTGGGGTGGGTGGGTCGGGGGACTTGGAGCAGGCCAGAGCCGGCTGAGCGGAGGGAGCGGGCAGGTTGGTAAGGGATTAGGAGGTTGCAGAGGTAGGGTGGGGCGAGGCCATGGAGCTTTGTAGGTGAGGAACAGGATCTTGAACTGGATCCTCTGAAGGATAGGGAGCCAATTGAATCAGGCGAGAATGCGGGAGATGGGGTCGCGGAAATTTGGTACAGGAGAGGACACGGGCTGCAGAGTTCTGGATGATCTGCAGCCTGTGGAGGGAGTAGTTGGGAAGGCCGACAAGCAGGTGTTTGCATAGTCGAGCCTGAGTGTGATGAAGGCATAAACAAGAGCTTCAGCGGCCTGAGGGGTGAGGTAGTGGCGGAGTCGGGTGATATTACGGAGGTGAGGGAAGGCAGAGCGGGTCATGGCTTGTATGTGGGAAAGAAAAGACATAGATGTTGTAGACATAGGCAAGTTATTTGACTTAGACTCTGAGAGCAGACTTAAGAGTTTAAATTGAAAAAGCATCAAGGAGAACTAGAGATCAGAATATTGTTTCTCTTTTTGAACCTTTAAAATAAAAACAATATTGGAAGATATAAGGATAGATGTCCCCAATTTTTCTTCGGGAAGTACCAAGGCAGGATGGGTGATTGAGGCCATGTCACTGGATTCATTTAAAAAGCAGCCTGATGCTGTGATGGTATGATGGGTATTCTGATGGTATGATGGGCATTCCTTTGGACCTCTCATTTGGAGCCAATGTATATACATATACAGCAGATTGACTGAAGGGCCTTCTTCATTAGAACCAATCTTGTGATTGTGATCTTGTGATGTCGGGGCTAGTAAAGCGGAAAATAAACATTGTATGTGGGGGGGGGGGGGGGGAGTAGACTGCAGTTGTATAATGGTTATATGATTATTCCACTATTGTATTTAATTACCTTAGAGGTTTAGGCAGTAGTAACAGAATACTGCAGGGTAATTGCATAAATGAGATATAATAATAATTTTTGCATTTAATATAGTGGTTCACAGAATTTGTCGTGTAGTGACTATATATTTGTAATATTGAGTCAACACTAGAGTGGGTTTTACATTGCAATATAAGGAATTTGCTTAATGGCGCATTGCTTTTTCTTGGCAAATAATTTCTTATGTTCTTGATTCTCTTACAAAATCATCTTTCTCCCTCCTATTTATACGCACAATAAAGTCAGTCATTTTGTTCAGGTTAACCATCAACTAGACGTACTGAAAGATCTTTTATTCTTTTGTAAAATTCCCAGCTTTTTACTACTATTATTACTATTTTTCATTCTGATTGAATATTTCACTTTAGGATAACTTTAGTTATGAGGAATATAACATTGGCTGCAGGGCTCCAAAGTACCTGGAAGATTGAAATCTTATTTGCTGAAAGCGACAGGGTCTTAAAGCGGGAAGTTCTACCTACGTGAATAAATGAAATGGAATGAGAAAAGGCCATTAATCACATATCTTTCAACAGATCATGTGCAGTTTGCACTGTTATAAACACTGACCGATTTGTTTGAATTTTCAGGAGAGGATGAGAGAATTGAGGGGGAGAAAAACTC